TTAGAATGTACTGTCTCGTTCAAGATTCTTCTAAAACTGCTGGAGACAGCTGGCAACTCAAGGCCGTTTGTTTACTATAGTACGTAGTAAAAATTATGAATACTGTAAATGTAAAAGTGATCGGTAATTGGTTACTTAGTTCCCTGTTACTTAATTTAATGGTAGGACTTTTGTTTTGTATTATATTATACTACGTACTATAGTAAACAAACAGCCTTGAGTTGCCAGCTGTCTCCAGCAGTGTTCGAAGAATCTTGAACAAGACGGTACATTCTCATCGGCGTCAAAAACGTGGTCTATTTAATTTTGTTGGTTTAATAAGCAACACCCTGTTTGGTAGGATAACCGCCGAAGATGTAGCTAAACTGGGACAACAAATGAATACAGTTTCAAAAGTGGTTATGAAACAGAAAAAGGCCATTGAACAGTCCTACAAGGTAGTACAAACTCTGAACTCTCAGTTGAATGCTATTGTTGACGAAACTAAGCAACTAACACGTGTTGTCCAGGGATTCACATGGACAGTGCCTACACTAGATTGGCTACTCTGCTTTACAGAATATATGCATGCAGCTGAAGCCTCTGTGCAAGCTTCCACAGTTACCAGTGATAGGGTCATAGCTGATTTAGTGAATGCAGGTTTAGGTCGTGTAGATGCACAGTTGTTGCCAGTTGGTCAACTTATTGCTGCTTTACATATAGCTGAAACTGACTATCAGCTAATTCCTATTTTCAGGAGCATGACGTGGAATATTGTTGCCCCTTATTAGAGGCATCTTTAACGCATGAGGAAATACTAATACACATTCCACTAAAATCACAACAGAAGTTTAATGCATGGCATTTGGAACCGTTTCCATTGAAGGCAAATGACGAACTTTTGGTTCTTAACAGAGAAACTGAACTAATAGTGGTTTCAGAAGATTTTTCGTTAGTTGCTGTGACTAAGCATGGTCTTAAATTATTGTAAGTCAACATACTTACACGTATGTCCAGCTTATGCTTTCGCTTTCATTTGGGCTGCAGAAGCTACTTATGAACTAGCTATAATACAAACTAATGCTTCTACAGCTCTACAGCAATGTGAATACACTCCAATACCCCATAGGTTAGTGTTTCACGCCCATGTAAATACGTAATGTGCTATTTTTATTTTCCAAACCAAACCAGTGTGATACTTATATGCCAGGATGTAGGTAAACATTTAGTAGTGGAAGGTTATCATATAGCACCAGACTATTGTGAAATTAGCAGTAATGCGATCACAACCTTGCCTACTCACCATCATCTTGCATTTGTATCAAACATTACTTCTGAACTGATACCCATACCATTTTTACCCTTATATTAATTTCAGCAGCATTCATATTGTCTTTGATAAGCTTAAACTTGTCTTACATTAATGAAACACAGTTTCCTGACTTACAGGATTCTTTTCCTTTTTATTTATCTTCCAGAGTAATCCTACCTGGTTTCACCATACCTGTCATCATATTTGTCAGTTCCTGGATTGTTTTGACAATTTGTTACAGGAAAATGTCCTCTAGGTACACAGTAGTTTCCAAGAAAACTTTCCAGAAGGCATTACAAAAGCATGTGCAAGAGGCAACAGTTTAGCTAAAGCACACTTTATTGTAACATGGTTCGATATACTGTACCTAGAATTTAAACTGTGAGGACTCTGTTGGTAGTGGCCAAGCGGTGTAACAGCACTTTTGCTTGATATAAATATTCGTTCAAATGAATAACACCAACTTATTCACTAAGGACTCAGTTGTTGATGATTATTCACGGCTGAACTTGTAACTATCACAGAGGTCGAGCTAGGTCAGCTGATAAATCAAAACATTTCACACCTTGTCATATTCTCTCCTCTCTGGTGCCCGGAGGAGGAGACACGCTCGGAGAGAGTATCAGATCATTACAACTTTTGCAGGGGTGAACAAGCAACTTAAGTGTTCTCTCAAAGTGTATTCATTACACTTCCTGGAGAGAATTCATAATTTATTTACTCAAAAGTCTTGATATATGTGTATAAAACTACTTTGACAATAAAAGAAAAACCAGCAATTAGAGTTTACATCAAGCCCTGCCACTTAAGAGTTATTTAAAACAATAAATGTGAAACCAAAACCGTTATCACAAGGTGAAAATATTCAGTGGTTGCTGTGGAGGCAGTATGATGACAAACGTTTTATTACTTTGTGTTGTTTAAAGTATTTAATACAGTAGTTTGTTTTTATATACCTGTGGAAATCATGTACTATTGTCAATTAACATCCACCTTAAACTGCTCTGGGTTTATACTTTACTTATTAATGCCAGGGGCAGAGAAAAAGTAATTACTATTGACTTCAGAATATCTCCTAATATCAAGTGCCCATGATAATGGTCAGATAAAAAAAATGGGGGGGGAAGACAACAGCGCCTTCCCCAAAACCCCCCAGCTGTGTGGACTTGCTATGCTCGCCATGTTTCCCCCCCTTTGATATTCCTGGATCTGCCCCTGAATGCCTAATTAAATAAAATATGAATGTTTACCAAGTGATAAACTGACTTTTCTGTTACCTATTTTGTTGTGGCCTTTTTCCATTCACTCAAAATCCGAAACCCCCTCACAAAATCCTGAGCAAGTCTGAAGCTCATGCCTTATGTCCGATGAGTCAAGCTAAGCATGGGTAAGACCCCTATTGACCTTGGGTAAGATTGGGAGCTGGTGTGGCTGGCAGATTTGCTGCAGAATCATTGGTCTGTGCTGAAACAAGGGGGGTGGGGGGCAGGATAGTCAATTAGGTTAGGGGAAACTAATTCGCCATTTACAAGTGGTACCCAATCAATGTTTTGGTTGCAACGGCCACTGGTATACCCTACTGGATATAAGGAATGGATAGTTGGATATTGCTTAATTTGAGTGAATTGGTTCGAAATCATCAAATGTTGACTTCCCAAATCAAGTATCAAATTCTTCAATTTACTGTGAAGATGGTATAACTCGCTTCTCATTTATTTTTGAGTTGACTAAAAATTCCAACTTATTGTATATAAATTTTTGATAATAATGCAATTCCTCTTAAACGTTATTTACATCAAAATATTGGGTAAACGTTTGTTACAAAATAGTCCAACTCTGGTTTTACTGATACATCGTCTGATGCTCAGAATGTGACCAGTTCGATGCACAGGTAGTTACCATCCTTCTCAATAAATGTTTACAATCTCAACATTCCAAAACAAGACAGGAATAAATATACACAAAAGTCACTTCTATACTTTCACACTATAAAGTTATAACATTAAATAATGAGTAAACTTCAAACGTAAAAAGGTTCTTTTGCCGACATCCTCCTTAGTACGAGTTTGCCAAACACTTACCAGCCGAAATAAGTTTAAGGAGTCCGATGTATACAGCATCCGTTATACCGAGGGTTTACTGTACCCTCCTATATAGAAACTGTATTCCTACCCATTTCTACCTTCTTGTGTCTTCAAAAATAATTTGTCACTATACAGCAACACAGGTGTGATGGAGAACTTAGAGGTTATTTCATCACACAGTATTCAAGGGGTTAAGTGTTTGTACTCAAGGATTAACTCATCCTATTCAAGAGGTTAAGTAATCATGCTTAAGAGGTCATCAATAATTTTAACACCATCATTGCCAATATATATGTCTGCTACATATGGTTCTTTACTTAGAAGCTGCTGTTTGACACCACAAATGCATCATACCCATGCAGCCTCTCAAAGAATACTACAAGAACATCTCCATTCTAACCCTTGTGAATATCATCAATGATTCATAAAGAACTTCTGCATTCACTCCACTTTTCCTTTCCCTTCCTCCATTTTACTAAATGTTATACAGTAGACTTGCAACTTACGCGGATTACCCCGGGGGTTAGGTTACAATTTCAAGCTCAAAACTTTCAAAATGAGTCGCAAGCCCGCCAAACGCACCACCCCGCCACCTCTCTGTCTGTCTCAGTTGCCGCGCGTGTATCGGCCGAGTAACAGCTGCCTCTTGTTTGTCAATATAGTGCGCTTAAACCTTTCTCATTCTCGTTCATAATGCCCAAACACAAGCCAACCTCTGCCTCTGGTCCTCCAGCGAAGAAACAAAGCTCTGTGATGACCCTGGAAGAAAAAGTAACCGTGTTAGACTTAATAAAAGGCGGCATGTTGATCGCTGCTGTGGCATGGAGGTAAGGGCGGAATAAATCCAGCGTGAAATCCATCAACATTTGGGAGAGGGAAATTTGTGAAACCGTGTCTAAAAGTGCCTCATTTACTGCTGAAGTGACTAGCCAGGTGGAGAAGGCATTAAACATCAACTTCTTGTGAGGTCTTACAAGCCTTATGACTCGGTATAAGAATATGTTCCAGAAAGCTTACGAAACGACAGCTTCCCATCACCATGTTCTTTAAGAAAACCTCAGCATCAACATCATTACCAGATCAGCCAAAGCCCTCAACTTCTCTCAGTGACCTGAAGCTGCCCACATCCTCCTCTTCATCGTTATCTGACATTGATGATCCTCCTACTGTGACGTGGGAAGGGGATGAATAATCTCAAAACAACAACACATATCTGTCTACATAATGTCTGTGTTCTATTAATGCTGTTATGCACTTGTTACAGATGTTGATATTACATTACAGTCGTGATTTATGAGTTCTCGTGTATATGTACATGTATACAGTATATACAGGGTAGTGATTTAAGGGTGATTTAGGAGATTTTTAAGAATGTCTCTGACTTTGTGCGGGGTCCCAGGAACGTAACCCCTGCGTAAGTTACGAGTCTACTGTACTGTATATATGTATTTCTTTCCAGCTTTTGGCTAGCCTGTTTTCAATTAACCATTGCCATCATTACTATGGTCAGGTAGGCTGGAATTATTACCCTATCACCCACTACTCACTTGAAAAGAAAGGAGGTACTATAAATCACATACACTTATTCTTTCCATGTTCATTGAAGTGGATAAGAAAAGCTAGAATTCACTGAAAATTTTATTGGACTAATACAGCAGCCTCACAAAATATCTAAACTGTTGAGCTGTAAATACAGCTGTATAGGGCATACAATAATAAAACAAAAAAACATATAAAACTCATCTGTGCTGGTCTGTGCGCCATCTGCCATCATCATGATACTCACAAACACCACAGCCCCGGAGCAGTCCGGGACCCCAGCCAACGGTGCAGAAGACAGAAGGTAAAACACACACAAACAAGGAAACACCACCTACTTTCTTAACTAATGCATAAGTGAGAAATAATTGTGAAGTAATAGTGTTTTGGGGAAGATTTCCTGAGCTTCATTCTATGATATAAAGGAGAGGAGGAATTGACAAAGACTGAGAGACAGAACATTGCTGTATCTGAAAAAACATATACTATATATCTAAAGGCATTGGGATTTTAACAAGTAAAATTATATGTAACACCTACTGAATAATATACAGTACAGTACTTGCAAGCTAATATAAATGAATCCCAAAGTTTTAGTATTAAAGCAATTATTAAAATGGGGATATCATGACAATGTTAACACTTTCAACTTGATCTCAATGACTTGGGCTTGATTCCACCTCCAGGTCAATCTGGCAGGGTAATAAACACTGGTGTGTACACTGATGATTATTATCTCATGAATCTACTTTCGCAAAGAAATTGGCTGATATTTTACAAATTTATGAAAACAAATTCACAATTTACATTTATGAACTATGCAATATTTAATTTAGAAGAGGAAAAAGTGCTTGTTAATGTTATTAAAAGCTGTTGTACCTTTGAAGTATTCAAAAAATTATTTAGCTACAATATGAATGAAAGAATTAGAAAAGGTGGTTTGTAATCTCCCCAAGCATTTTTTTTATTTAATGATAAATAAAACTGATGAGACAGAGATCTCATTTGTTACTTCATATATGGGCTACTTTCCCAAAACAATGCTGTTATAATTTACTTTATAAATAGTCACTAACATTTGAGCATGTTTACCCAAGTTATTATTTTCACTTTTCCTGAATTATCAACATTTAGTGTAAAAATTCAATTAATTCTTGGTTTATTGTACTAATTCATTCAAGGTTCATAGCAGCAAGCACTTATATGAAAATGAATGAGTAAACAGTTCCAGGATCTTGAAGGAATTGTTTCAATCCAATAGCAATTCTTGAAGGTTTATCTTACTAACCAATACATATTATTTCAAATAATGCTACCATAATATCTTTCTTGCCAACATAGAAAGGGATTAGTTATAAATGGGTATAAGCACTATGCTCAAGTTACTCAGAGTTGGGACAACTATCTTTTTTTTTCTTTTCTTTTTTATATTAGTGTCAAGACTACTGGTAAGCTCTCTTTCTATCTGCAATGCATAATTCTGATTGTCAAGCTTTGTTTGTTCAAAGTACAGTACAATATAGATAAGATAAAATTTATAAGTTTTTGAACACTAACAAAGTTTTCCCAGGTGAAAATTTTAAATAGGGTCTTATATTTCTATGAAATAATTTCTTATTATTGATTGACAAGAGTAAATTATTTGTCTACAGCAATTTCTACTAAAAAATATTCTCATTATCGAATGCACAGCATTTACGTGCAATATTTACCGAGGCATTATATGTTAATGCTACATGCAATATTTCCCGAGGCATTATATGTTAATGCTACAAACAAATTATACTTGAAAATACTTCTCTGAAACTTCCATCAATGAGACTTTTGCATCCCATGAGCCATGTGTAAAAAGAGTATTAATTTGCAATAAAATTAAACAATACTGTTTATAGTGACTGATTCTTTTAGATAAATGATGTCAACAAATATTAAGAAAAGATGTATCTACGAAAATCAGCATACTGTATATCATCTAAATTAAATAGATGGTGATCATGATAGTGTTTAAGGAAACCTAATGTTAAACTTGTAATTTTCTCTCATGGCTGTAGTGTCACCTTTATATACAGCTAATATGCACAAGAACCACTTCCATTCTCTGGCAAAAACATTTCAGTCTGATCAAGTTAAACAGAGTTTGTATGTGATCTGCATAGAAGAAATAAAATTTTCCAAGTACCTACTGCATAGGTTAGGAGAATTGGAGCACACCAGCCAATTGTCTGGCTCCTACACACGTTTTTGTCTTTTACTGTACTATAATTTATTTAAAATAAACTCCTGATATGACTTTTCTCTCATGTCTGAAATTTAGAATCTCTTCCTTATAAGAAGTTTATGGAAAACTTCAATGTAACTTTACTAACACAGCAAATAGACTGAATGAGAGGTAATAAAGAAAGAATATGTGTTTGGTCTTGATCCTGCTCACTTTGCATTACAGCAGGAAAAGGCTTAAAACAAAACAATTAAAGGACTGAGACTTCAAAGTTGGCTTTATAGATTTCAAGTAAATTTCAATCTTGGTTGACTGGCTGACTACAGAAGAGGGCTCTCTTAATTTACTTTGAAGTTTCAGTCATGGAATCAAAGTATAAAAAGGACAAGTCGAAATGTTTTTGCCGTTTAAGGTGTCTAACAAGTTTACTTATGTACCACCAGATGTATGGTAAAATTACTGATGTAAACTTCAAACTTCATAATTCCAACACCATATAATAAAAAAAAAATCAATGCTATTATAGGATGGATGTAAACCCAGTGTAAAATTAAGCTTAGCATAATTACCACAACACCTCCAAACCATTTTAGGGTTTTTTCTTTATTTTAATTTATTTTTTACATACAATATTTACCGCTGCCCTAATTTAAGTGTGTGGGAATAATTACTGCATCTACTGGCTACCATAATCTTCAAGGGTGTCTTGTTTCAATTAAATTTTATATTTTTCTTGGGTACATGCGCTGCTTTTAAAGTTCTGCCAATAACGCCATTCTATTATGGATGAAACATAGTTCAATAAGTTTTTTTTTTTTTTTTTTTACTTAAAAGAACATTTCTTAATAGAAAAGAGGTTATTATTGAGGAAATTGTTGAAAATATATTTCATATCCAGAGGTTACAATTTCATAAAATTCAACTACATAACCCATATATGAAATTTCCTGCTACCTTTTCAGTTATTGAAGACTATTATCAAAAGATGGCTTGAGATAAGAGATTATTCCAGCAAAAGGAGGATGGGTGCGATCAGCTTTGGTAACATGATGTAGTCAGAGGTAAGGTAATTATGTCTCCCAAGTCCATGATAATTTTACAGTTACTGAGTTTTATATATATATATATATATATATTACAAAAGCAGTAGAATGATCTGAGGAAAAAAGTGTATTGTAAAATCTTTGGAATTTAGGTGCAAGCGTGATGGAAAGCACTCTGTGCTAGAAGGCTATACACAACAAGGCTCCATTAATACTTACAGAACCTCATTGAAATATTCCTATAGCTCACAGTAGCTTACCAATTCACAGAGAAGCTTGAGCACTGCAGTGCTAACATACAAACTAGATGTAAAATTGCAAGAGCTCTCATCTACTAAACTCTACATTACAAAGTTTGCCAGTTAGACCCTCATGCTCAAACCATTCTTAAAGCAAGTGAAGAAATGTTGAAGATTGGCCATTCCCCAACCACCATTAACAAACAAAATATGTACCTTTCTTGCACCAGTTCTGGAGGGTGTGGTCACAAGAGTGGCCCGGGGAGGACAGGTGATTATCCTCTCAACACCGCAGCTACACTCCTGGGGTTTCTGGGTTGAGTAGCATCCCACACCTCATGCCCCCCACTTGCCTGCTCAACAAAAGCTGAATAGCAGACAATATGCTGGGTGTGAGGTTGGGCCCAACCTAGGTCATCAGTGATGCCTAACACAGTACGACACAGAGTAGTAGTGTGAGAGAGAATTCACCAAGCCCCCCAAAATTCAGGGGGCTGGGGACTGAGAGGTCCAACAGCACCGTGACAGGCTGTGAATGAATCACCAAACCACGTCCGGTTGGGGGACTGACTCCCAACAGCCCCTGGTGCTGTGAATTCAGCCTACCTGGCGGCTGCTGGAAGACTGAACACATTCATATTGGGGACTTCTAGGGCTACTGAGCAAATGGCCAGCCTGAGTCATTCTCATCAAACCACACTCACTGCACTAATATTTACCACCCTTCCCTGACAGATACAAACTATATTAAAATTCAAAAATTATATTACAAAACATATACACAAATTAGCTTCCTAACATATGGAATAGCCATGGGCCAATCTGTAAGTGGATTACATGATATATCAAGAAGATACAAATTCAGCAATTTAACACAATGCACATACACAAAGAACTCATTCACTCGATCACAAGATACTTACATTCGGAGAGACACACTCCCTAAGGGCAAATAAAGGCATCAGCATAGCAATAGTGAGTGCGGTTGGTGAGAGTCACTCGTCGGCCCCAAAACTGAGAATGTGGCCTCACTTCCCAGATTCACCATCACCAACAAGCTAATCAAGAGCGGGCTGCGCCATGCGGAGACATAACAGGGCTCCTGAGAGGCTGCAAGCTGGGAAAACTGAAATTGGTCTCACCACTGGCGTGTGCGTTGGAATGTCTCAACTGGTTAGTTAATCAAGAGGGAGCATGGCATAGCTAACCAACCTAACTGAAGAAAACACCAATATGTCTAATGCATTCTTATTTTCACTTAATCAGTACTGAGAAAAAACAAACAGATGGTTATAGAGTGCAGTACTGTGATTGGATCTGCAGCAGCACAGTAGATCTAATGTGAAAAAGTGAGGCTACTGCATGATCCACACAATAATAATAATAAAAAAATCTTTAAGTCTTTAGTTATAATTACAGTAGTATTTGTAAAATAAAGACATGTGAACCTAATGTGAAATGCATTTATTTTTGGAATAAACCTTACAGGTACTTTACTCATAATGAAGGCTGTGTTTGAATTGAAATTATGAACACAAAAAGGATAATGAATTGTGACTAAAAAAATCTTAAGCACTAACAAAACTAAAACCATTAAAACAATCTAGGAATAAAATTGGATAATCCCCAATAACTGCATTTAACCTACACACAAATTACTAGTGATTCCTTTCAACAAAGAAAAAGAGTACCAACAAGAGTTGGCTGGTTAGCCTCACCACGCTCTGGCCTTGTAAAAAAAAATTGTGGCCAACCATGAACATACTTTAGGAGCTCCACACGTTTTTCCTAAACCCTTAAAATATATGACCGCTTACATGCACAAACCCAGTGAGGGTTAAGAATCCATTCAGTTCCTGTGTTATTCTGAATTACGATAAGTAACAAAATTCCATGCACACTGAAGAGTGACGACTTAACAGCAATACTACAGCAAAGGTTTTGGTTTTACAAAGCAACTCCCTCAGAATATCCTGGCTACAAATTGTTGAGAAAAATGGCCAGAATTAAATTTGTACTCCAATATATAAATCTTTAAAGCTTATGCCACAAAATTGTTAGATATATTAATTAAAATAACAAGGAAATCCTGAGACAAGAGACCTGCTCTACCAAAACAATTACATTAGTACAACCGTTACATTACTCCATGGAGAAACCAAAAATACAAATTCTCATCTCCCCCAGCCTCGCGTCCTCTCGTTCGGGCTCACCTGTTGCGAATTTCCACAATGTTCGTATGCTCCACTCCTTCCACCCTTTCAAGTAGTAATACAAAAAATCCATTACTTTCATCCAAATAAAAAAAAATAATCTTATTTTGTATGCATTATAACAAAATATAAAGCTTGAAACCAACTAATACAAGAATGACAACTTAATTAGTATTTATTTCACAACATACAGTAAACAGGTGATCATCATTTTTAACAAAGCTGATAGTTAAGTCACTAAATCCTCATAGCAATAATGTGACAATAATAAATACAAAAAAGTACTTACGGCTGCTAATGGGATCTCCCTTTCAACAATTTACAAATTCATTTGTACAACTTGCAAAAAAAATTTATAAATGGACTAACCTGTGGTTAACATCTGTATAGGTAGGATAAAATTCCAACAGTGCTTTGTGAAGAACTACCATTTCTAAACTAAACAGCTTCTTACCTTATCAACTAAACAGTTTCTTACCTTAAAGAGAAAATTCACAAATACACAATTATCACTCAAAAAGAATGATGAAACCTAAAACACTATAATACAAGTGCTTGAACGCTCCAAGAATAGAACAGTCGAGCCTGCTTCCCCCATCTCAGCCCAAGTTAGCACCAGGACCTTACTCCACAAGCCACATCTGCACTTAATCCAATTGCCTTATATCTCCAGCAAATTAATCATAAATGATCACAATGGCCTGGAATATGATTAAGCCAACAGAGAAACACAGATGCAACACCTGGGGGATACACCTCTCGCACACTTGAGCTGGATCAGAGTAATTATACATACAATCAAGTGTAGGTCCCAAGAAGCAAGTATACAAGCACCACTTGCTCAAACTTAAGTTCCACGTGGGCGGCACACAAACAACAGTCTTGTGGATAAACATTTCAACACTGATCAGAGCAATGATAAGAGACAAAGAAGTCAATAACAGATGATAACAGATGCTTGCTGCAAAGTGATGCAATGTTAGCTCGTCCACACAGGACTAACCGAGCTGTGATGGAAAACCAACAAGTTTTAGGGACCCACTACAATTTCATTGTTTAGTTTTGTCAACATATTTGTAATTTTTGATTATTAAAATAAAAACCTATGACTTCACACAAAAACATCACTCATGACATACAAATTGAATCCTACTCTCTCGTTCAATTGAACTGTTCCTGTCTCAACTTTGCCGAAAATTGGACGTGTCTTATGTCTCTGCATGAGTGGTGTTTGAGAATTCTTGCCTAATGCAGGTAATGTAGACAGCAGAATCATCTTGGATAGTCCCAGGTGTGTGTTGGTTTGCCCCACAGGCCAACTTAGTGACTGACTGACTGCGCTAGTGTGCTTAGCGAGCGAGCGAGGGAGGGTCGGTGAGGAGGCTGACTATCAGTCATGACGAAGGCATGCGTATGTTGCCTCACCAGCGCCGACCTGCTGCTGCCCATCCCGTTGCTTCCTACCTGCTGGCTACATACCGGGACCAGGTGGTCACCTGAAGCGTGGGATCATGTGAGGCCCTCCCATCATGGGGCCCCCCATCATTGGTGGAGCACCTAACCCAGGGGCCATCTGCCCATGACCAGGCAGAGCTGAAATAGTTAACCAACAACAAAATTAGTCAATCCCAGAAAATTGTACAACATCCCATGGCATACTAATAGGATTAGCATCATTTTCTTATTACATAAAACACAGCTAGCATTCTAAGGAACATTACAGGATACTGAGCCAAAACAGGAAGGTGAGTTCTATTATAGCATTTAAATTGTTTAAGGACAAAAGTGCAAATCGTGCTTCAGTCGTAACTAATCTAATTCCACTGTGCAAATCAAGAGAAAACTAACCAAATGTAAGAGAATAATTGTACCACACTTAAGACAGAATACCATCGCTGACACCTGTAGAAGTCACTTACACCCTCAAATTTTCCTTATAACTTTATATTATAAAATCTAATTTTTTATTGCTAAATAATCATTATATATATATATATATATATATATATATATATATATATATATATATATATATATATATATATATATATATATATATATATATATATATATATATATATATATATATATATATATTATATATATATTATATATATATATATTATATATATATATATTATAAAATGTGATTTTTTTTTTAATAAAATCAAATTTACTTTTGCTGGTAACAAACTATGTACTGTACTGTATAATAAAAGGATGGAGTAAGAGTTTGAGCCTGCAATTATTATGAATTGCACAGAAGATAATTAGTCCTATGTGCTGCAGTAATGTGTTTACAAGTACAGTATGGAATTACTGTGCCTCCAGTATATGTTCCTGCACATTCAAAACATTTGTTACAATATAGCAGGTAACACTTTATCTGGCTATTAACAGTTACCAGATGGTATCATATGAGGCGCTCCATGCAATGAGTGCAAGCCAATGATGATTCGAACAGAATTTTCTTGTTTTCCAAAAAATCTATCCATGTTCTTTGATATTGCATGGACTTCGTGAAAATTCCCTTGTTTAAGAGAAGCGGTGGATTGCGTGCGCTAGCTTGAAAGTGTACTTTCAATCCTAGCTACATGGGTGAGCCTGCCTCCACTGGTAACTACATGTAATCATTTACTCGGTTGACTTCTTGTGCCAATGAGCTCTGAGTCTACAGCTTCAGTTCCACTCAGATTGTGTTTCCACTCCTAATTTTGCTGTTATAGCCCTCACTATTAGTTCTTCTGATAGCTTTGTGTGTCACTTTACATTTGGAAGAGACAGAAGCACCTGGGGAGTTGAAAAAAGGTGGAAACAAAGGGGAAAAGGAAAATTAGTGGTATGTAAACCTATGTCAAGACAGTGTGACCAGTTCCTGCCTGCATTATTGGCTTTCTTTATAGATGTGGCTGCTTTAACAATTTAGGAATGGACAAAATTTAGGTTATCGTTTATAGTTCTTGGACAACTGGTATTTACAATCAGCAAAATGCATATCTTTCTAAGCTGATTATTAGTGATGATGTGAAGTATTGCTGCAGAGAAAACAGGCAAAGTAGGATACTCTGCCATATTAAGTGCTGTACAGTGTTATACAGTTATCTCCTCGTTAGCCAGAATCCCCGATCCCCAAAACTATTCAATAACTGGAAATGAAATTGGCCCAGAATTTCTCCAGAAAAGTGATTTCGATTCCGGGTCTGCGAACAAATGTTCAGAATTATGAGAAATTACGCCATGCTCCGCTACATCACCACATGCCAGCCGTGTGGGTGGGAAAACCACTTGGGTAACTTGAGTATCATGTGACATCATGGGATGCCTGTAATAGACCGATGCATCTCCCAGCTATTTACTATGAATAATAATTATTCATAGTAAATGAAATTTATAATAAAATAAAAACAAAATTGAAAATAAAATAAAAATAATAATAATAATCATAAAGAACCATAACGAAATACAAAAACGAAAAAAAGATCAAAAGTGAGAAACAATATACCTATGTAAGTTGTGTTGTCAATAGTAAGAGAAACAATTGAGACCCTGCAATTGTGTGTAAATGGGGCAGAAAGTCAGATCAGCAACCTGGGACTTGGTCAAAATTTTTGTGATGCCATGTGGCAGCAGGGTCTACCATTAGACAACACATTATGCTTCCAATATCTTCCCAGGCGGTAGTACCTCCCTGTTTGGTAGCTGCCTACTACCAATGATTACAGTGACATATTACATTCAGCTGAGGAGAGTGTATGCCTACTGTAGGCTCAAGACGACAGCATCTGCTGGTGAGTACAGTATATACAGCACAGTACAGTAGTAGTATTCAAAATTCTGTTTATTTACAATATATTGTACCTGTACAGAGGTGCTTACGTAAACAAAAAACTCCGTGTGAGATGCATAGTTTAGACTCGGGAAAACTTTCCCCAGTAAAGGGTGGAAGATTCCAATGTCTTGGCCGTGACATAGTACAGCTCTATTCATGCCTCATTCACCTGTATCATATATTTTTATTTATTTTTAAATACCCTGAATATTTATTTGAACAAACTTTTAGATAACCTATCCACAATTATTTTGGTAAAAAATGGTTTCTAAATTAGTACAGTACCAATTTTACCGACTGGTATCAGCATTTCTTACGTTTTTTTTTTAACCCTTAAGCCCAGGTTAGGGTGCTGCTAGTAGTACCCCCCACGCGGGGTTAAATCGAGAAAAAAATCAACACCAAAAAAAAAAGGCGGGAAAATAGGCGGACATTCCAGAATGTCCGACCAGCGTGCCCCGGGTGATGTTCCAGAAAGTCCGCCTATTTTCCCGCCATATATTTTTTAATTATTTTTGGAAATGTTGATTTTTTTCTCGATTTAACCACTCATATATCATGCCAAAATATTTTGTTCATTGATCTTTTATTGGAAAAGTTTTGTATGGAATTAATTCCAAAAATAATTCATTCTCATTGTGTCCTTTACAGGAGTGGTAGTTGGGCAGCCATAGTAGCAAGATCTGGCTCCAGCTCAATGCACTTAATAAATATGATGGCCAAGACCTGACACAAGCCATAGCTTTGAGTAGTGTGGGAGATGGTAATCCAATTAACAGGTACAGTAATGCCTTTTATTTAAACATTGGGTCAGTACGAGACCAAAAGTCATTATCAGGTCACCAAATTCTTTACCGGAGAGGAACTATTTTTCTGCCCCAACAGATAATATTAATGCCAGAGGAATAGTTATTGCACCCAATAGAAGTTCTATATAACACGAGCTCGGGTAAGGTGGCCTCACCCTTTTTCAATGGGGAAGCCACTTTTGATATTTAATTTGGCTACCAGACGATTTTATTCAGCAGAGAAATCCCCCCTCCCCATACACAAGGGGTTAATACACTATCTCTACTAACCTCTTCACTATGGGTATGCCACTTTTTAAATTTTATTTGAATAACTTAAAACTAAGATTAACTTGTTTTGGGACATGAAACAAAAAGATTTGGATTTCTCACAGCTAAATGATGCTAAAACTCTATCTTATTCTGAATTGCCACTAATTTCATAGGCCACATGAATGAAGGACAGTAGAACCTCAATAAATTAGACTAATTGGGGCAGAACTTAGTCTGCAAAAGAGGAAAAAAATGAGGTGGATGTAACGCTGCCTATCTGAACTGTTTAAAGAAACTCAGTTGCATTTCAACATTTAAGGTCTTTAAGAGTATAAAAAGGTTATTAAAGGAATATTACATCAACAATAAAAAAAATATGAAACAGAAGTCTCTGGGTTGAAAATCAGGGCCCGTACCAGGTATACACAAAACTATTCTGCTAATGACGTATCACTGTTAGCAAGCAGTAAAATTTTAAAGTTATACACAAAGCTTAACTAGCAAACGTTTACCACACAAATAGTTGTTTGTTAAGTACTGCTAAACAGCGCTAAGGGTAGCAGGAGTTGATATAAAATGGTCTTATGGCTGAATAACCTCAATAAAATTATGAAGATTAATTTCAATATTTACATTTATATACATTTTGAGAAAAAAACAAAAAATCTAATGTGTGCAGTTTGAAGGAGGATTAATTAACCAAGGTAGTGATCGGTGGCTTGGCCTTGCTGTGCTGCTTGTAAATACACGTGTTACTGAAGGAGCGGACAAGTTGAGCATCATGGAAATGGAAGCCTCAACCCCACTTCCAAAGAAAAGAAGCTCAACTGGACAGACCAGACTTTATTATTGGTGGATGCCTTAGAAGAATAAAAGTTAATACTGAATGGCCGCTTGGAGGCTTTCCTCAACTATAAAGAAAAAAAGGAGGGGGGGGGGGTTGTCGTTCTCAACCCATCACCTTTTTAAGTTTTTTTTTCTTACCATTTAGTAGATCTCATCGAGTAAAGAAAGAATATACAGTACAGTACTTGAATTAAGCATTCCAAAAATAAACGCGATCTCGCGATTTATTAGTTGTAAAAACTACTAATTTTTTGAAGTCCCAATTTGATGTTTTGGTAACACGCAGCATCTTCTCGTTTTGTTAACCAATTCACATGAAAATTATATTTTTTCACTTTTTTGTTTTTGCTGTTTTAGATGATTCTGATATTTATGTTTGGGGCAAATCACTTTTTTTTAGTTAGGTTAGTACGTGGCCTGTTAGGTCAGGTAACCCAACATAACAAAAAAAAAGTTAGGATAGGATAGGTTAGGTTACCTGACCTAACAGACACATCCTAACTCCAAAAAATTAGGTTAGGTTACTTGACTCAACAGGCCACATCACGTAACCTATCCTAACTTTTTTGTTTATAGGTTACCCACCCAACAGGCCACAGTTCCAACCTTAAAAAATAAAATAAAACATTATATATATATATATATATATATATATATATATATATATATATATATATATATATATATATATATTATATATATTATATATATATATATATATATATATATATATATATATATATATATATATATATATATATATATATATATATATATATATATATATATATATATATACAGTCAACACTCGCTTTTACGTCCCACATTCCGTTTCAACGCACGCGTACCCTGCCGTA